TAATTGGCGTATAGAATGCGAGTCGGGCATGATACCGGTATCAAAATTGTGTTTGCATATATTATATTATGCTGCTGATGTTGAAATAAAACGAGTTCACGAATACATCAGGGTTAGATTGTGAATACGGCAGATGTCACAAACACTTTAGTACAAAATCGTAACTCTTTTGTCGTGTTTGACCTTCCCACAATTTCTGTATGTGTAATTTACAATTTCCACAAGTTCGCGCATCACACGGCGACGCAGCACGCCATCCCTGGGTATCTCGAGCTCCCAGGAGTTGTCAATCACAGCAAAATGTGCCCCGCAACTAGCACTAATCGACAGAGACCAACAATGGCATGCGCAAAAGTGGACTCTCTTCGACCCGCCTCCATGATTATCTATAGGCTTAATATTGATCTACTTTTTTCACTTGACAGACTTTTTGGCTACGAAAAGGCTTTTGAAGTGTTTGGTTAAGTTCACTGTATCGCTGTGACTCAGTTTCTATGATAAGTATAGACACATTTTAGGTGGTATGATTTTAATGCCACTTTGACAGACAATCATAACTTATTGGATAAAAATACTATTACCACGTAGGTTTTTATGCTTTGGGGACTAAGGGTTGACTTCAGCAACTAGCTATCCAGTAAATCTGGACAGAAACAGGCCACAATGCCAGGGCATTTTAACTGCAAAAAGAACTATGCTTAATGCGATGAAAATATAAAACACTGTTATTATTGTTGTTATACCTCCATTGTGTGGCCACTGCATTGCTTTTTGTTGTTATTATTATTATTATTATTATTATTATTATTATTATTATTATTATTATTATTATTATTATTATTATTATTATATTTTAGAAACGTGTTTACCTACACTATATTTTAACCTCATACCGTATCTTTTATCGATGTGTTGTTTAAAAACAAATACCTCACTTGTTTTCTTGTTCGTCGTCTGGTTAGAATATTGTTTACCCCTTCCTTATTCCCCTAGTAAAAGTAAACCCCAAACACTTGCATTTAAACTTCTAGCTGTTATTGGCAATATTTCCTGTCAGCGACTCCTACCGACACCTAGACCATCAAGACTCATTGCTGTGATCGTAGCTTAGCCCCCACAACAAGGAGTTAGAGGCTAAACCAGATCTGTTCCAAATGTATACGTCTGTGTTCAGTCGCTTTGTCTTCGCATAAATCCTCTATACCGTATGTGTCGCCAATAACAGTGTTTGTATTATCCTTCCTAACATTATGTTAGTCTTGAATTTCTAGAAAGATAATTTATATCTAGCCTATAGAATGCACATTTTATTTGTTTTTTATGTTCTTGATATTGAATTATAAACTTTGTATAATTATAAAATCAGTTATGGTAAAGGAATCAGTGTACTGATTTTGTATACTTCAATAATAGTGTTATCTGATAATGATGGTCAAGATGATGATGTCATGACAATAATGAATATGGTGGTGGTGGTATTGATAGATGATGATGATGATAATGATGATGATGATGATGATAATGATAATACTAGTGTTGACAAGAATGATAATGACGACGATGATAAGGTAGTGTTGGCGGTGGTGGTAATGATGACAACTAAGTTTACAACAATGAAGAGAAAAAAAATACACGATGACACGATGGTATTGATGACTACGAAACAGAAAAAATGAAGGTTAACAATATAAATGAAAAACTACCATAAACTAATGAATCACACTGCCTAACATTTTGTCATAGTTTGTCAGTGTGGCTTCTATGATATTCTAAATAGCAATATTCTGGATCTAAACAAAATATCTGAATCGGCAACAATTTTACATAGATGTAAGAAAAAGAGGGCGCTGTGTTACATTTTATAACCGTGTGGGACAGGCTGCAGTGTTTTAATCTTATTGTGGTCCTATATTATCGCCCATTATTATTATAAACCACATAAACCATGAGTCTCGATAATGATGAAACAATAATGATAAAATGGTTAATGAATTAATGATAAAAATGGTATAAAATAGGTAATACTCTCAAGAGGAGATATGTCAAAACATTTTCATGATAAAAATCTGCCTATTGTATTTTTTTTCTAATGCATGGATAATTTACTGCAAAAGGCCTAATGGCTTGTAAAAGAAATACCTGTTTTTACAAATACACTTACAATTTTGGAAGGATTTTATTTTTGTAAACCACGAATTTATGGGTACAATCATATACTGTCTGAAACCTAAGGCTAATAACATGAAAAACAACCAGGCAATTTACAATGTGACGTGATGATGATCGCCGAATCAGCTTTGTTTGCTATTCATCATCGAAGGCGTACGCCGTGTACAATACCGTACATCAAATTGCAGCTTCGAACGTTACATTGTATAAATGTAAAATTTTACAAAATATACAGACTGCTTTAGACGTAAACAATGTATATTATTACTAATAATATTAACCATCGTACGCTGACGAGTGTTCGTGCTGTTACTCTGCTTAGGCCTAGTCCGTCGGGCCTGGAGTAGGACAGTTGTATAGTGCTCAAAATTCGTTAGCGTTGCATAGACAATCGATTTTGGTCTTCAATTCTCTCTTCTTCAAAATCGCTTTCTAGTGGCTCAAATTGATAAAGCTGCTCTATATTTGCTTCCTTCTTTAGATCAGTATTCCCAACTGAACCTCTTTCATATGTCGCGCTCTTGTATTTATAGACAGGATGGCTGTGGTTGTTATACCAAGTCTACGTCATCATCTCTACTCACACTTCAGTGAACATCTCCAGTGGGCGGGGCTTATACTAATATTTTAAACCGTCATTTTTAATATTTAAAAATCAAAAATTAAATGTTTCAAATATAATAAAGTTTATTACCACTCATTTGTTAAATATATGTAATACTTCAATAATCAGCAGCTTAAAAAGCATAATTTTAATCAGACTTTAAGCTATTAAATAAGCTGCTGTAAGTATATGATGTCGTCTTCTATTAAAGTTGTATTTTCTCTGAATCACAGAGATCTCTGGCTCAGTACTATACTGTAGGCTACACAAAACCAATTAGAAATTTCACGATGGCGCCCCTTATTGACGGCATATTTTGAACTATGAATGCAAACTTGTACAAAGCTAGCTATTATTTTTACGAACTTTCAAATCAAAGTGGGTCGAAATCTAATTTTATGGGGAAATGATTTAAACAATGATTGGGTAATATCTATTAATTTTTCTTACAAGCCTATTAAAATCAATAGTTTATCAATGTTTCAACACTTGCGATATTCACTACTAAACAAAGTACTACTGCATCCGTTACTGCTACTGGGCATTTATAATGCGCCTTTCTTTTAGGTTGCAAAGCACCAGCAAATTTTACTCCAAAATCCAATTACCTTGAGTAACCGATCAACATCAGTTCCAGGGGAAAAAAGAAAAAAAAAACATCTGATAGGCCTACCACACAAAGTACACCAACAATAAAAAGTCAACAAAGACACATACAAAAATACAGAAAAAAGTGAATGAGGCAAAAATGCGTCTAAATTACTTAGAAATATTATCGAATACTTGGCACCCAATACCCCATAGAGTTGAAACGTCAGTGCTCCCCGGCTGCAGGCCCCCTCATTCAATGGCCCCGAAACCATCCCAGTCCGTCGCTGTTTGAGTAATAGCACCACTTCTGATTGTGGACTCATTTGCAATTACGCCCCTCCTTTCAATTATCTCACCAATGAGATCGCAATTAATTGTACCGGTACTCTGAACCACACTCCCGAACCTTCTCTTATATTAAACGAACACTGTATGTTTTGACCTAACAAGCTTTTTAAGCAATCCCATTAATAGGTATACTTGCTTACCGTATACTCGCGCGAATAAGCGCCCCGTTTGAATAAGCGTACACCAACAATAAAAAGTCAACAAAGACACATACAAAAATACAGAAACAAGTGAATGAGGCAAAAATGCGTCTAAATTACTTAGAAATGGTATCGAATACCTGGCACCCAATACCCCATAGAGTTGAAACGCCAGTGCTCCCCGGCTGCACGCCCCCTCATTCAATGGCCCCGAAACCATCCCAGTCCGTCGCTGTTAGAGTAATAGCACCACTTCTGATTGTGGACTTATTTGCAATTACGCCCCTCCTTTAAATTATCTCACCAATGAGATCGCAATTAATTGTACCGGTACTCTGAACCACACTCCCGAACCTTCTCTTATATTAAACGAACACTGTATGTTTTGACCTAACAAGCTTTCTAAGCAATCACATTAATAGGCATACTTGCTTACCGTACTCGCGCGAATAAGCGCCCCTCCTAACGTGAAAATTTCCTTAAGCGCCCCGTTTAAATAAGATTTTCTTTTTAGCAAGTCTATAATCCAATCAATCCTGAGACAGTGGTTGTTGGCATGATTTGAGCTGTAGAGTGGAAACACATTCTTCTTCAGTCAATATCAAAATAAGGATATTTCTCTTGGACAGATGAGAGCTCCGATCCCTGGACAGATGAGAGCTCCGATCCCTGGATATACAATATATTTCCAACTTTAATCTTTTTACATATTTGTCTATGTCTAGTCCTTCTCCTCTTTTTCTTTTTTCGACCTTAAAAGCACATTCTCATCTGAGTTTTCAAGAAAAATACAATAATCCTGCCGTCCTGCTAATCTCAATCGGCCGATGGTCAACAAGCTAACCACTACCCACCACTAATTGCATCTGCTATTTTGCTGTTATGTAAATATTGACGCAAACTTGTTATGAGCCATGTTCTCTGGACGATAATATTTTCTAAACACCATTCGTAATGTCCATATATAATCTTTTTTTCATTCAAAAAGTGCCTCTTAAATTTTTAATTATTAAAATTATTTCCCATAAGAACCCCTCGATTTTCATCTATTTCCATAAGCGCCCCCTCAATTTCCACTCTGTTTTCATAAGCGCCCTGTTTAAATATGCACCCCGTTTGAATAAGCGCACCTCAGAAAGTGCAAAAAAAAAATATTTTAAGCGCCCGGGTGCTTATTCGCGCGAGTACAGTAGTTTGTAAAGCGAGACAAAAATTTTCTTTGGAAATAGTTTACCAAAAGAATAAGCTTAATACGGTACCACTTAATTATCTTTGATTTTTTCGTATTTAACCTCATTTTAGTTCAATAGACGGTCATGATGAGCGTTAGGAGTATTCAAAGCTGCTGCCAAGCGTGTCCAGAACACCTTCTGACCATCGGAGTTTTCAGTCCATTCGATGTAGGTCTTCTTTCTCAAGATCTTCTGAAGTAATGTCGGCATGTTCCTACTCGCTACATGCTCTAATATTACAACCACTAAAATGTCCTCATGATCGTCAAACATACGTGTTCTGGCCATTTCCATTTCAAAGTAACACCATTCACTCTTAGCAAAGTTCTTGGTGACAACTATCAACATTTTGCGACTATACTTAATAGCATCAGAAATATTGTCAGCGATTACTCCGCCGACTAAAAAATCCCGGAAGTCAACGCAAAGACGAAAGTTGAACTCGGGACCTTCCAGTATCGGTAGGGCTGACTTGAGTACCCAATCACGGTCTTTGCTGTTGTAGGAGACGAACGCGTCATATCGAATCTGTACTCCGTCAATCGGTGGCGGACCCTCGTTTTGTAGCCTCTCGTATTGTTTTCGGAGCAGCCGCCGCTGATTCCAATATCTATCAAGATAAATGATTTGTTTATTGTATTTAAAATAATAAAATTAAATCAATAAGTTTAAGTAAGTTATTCGCTTTCAATTTAAAATTATATATTTACAATGAGCAAATGTGTGTCTTGCTTTTATAACATAAGCTAGGGCCTAGATGATATCATTGCAGTAGAGAAATTAAATAGTAATTTGATTGTATAGCAAAAGTAATTATTCAATGTTACCTCATTTGACAATCATCCCCAGTTTCATATTTACTTTAGGTATGTATATATATATATATATATATATATATATATATATATACTATGCATACCTGATATCCCAGCGGAAAACATAAAGGAATGTACCAAGAACGACTAGGAAAGCTGCTGAGCCAAATGATGCAATGAGGACAGTTGTTGTGAAGGCAAAGCATATCAATGAATCTGCATCAAATTTAACTAGACTTGTTCCTTCTCTGTTTCTACACTTAGCTTTATCAAGTTCTATCAATGTTGCATTGGTTTGGTTTATCCAGTGACGAAACCATACCAGGTTACAATCACAGACAAGCGGGTTTTGCCATACTCCGATCTGAATTAACTTGGTCAAATTCTGTAAGCCCATATTTTGACTTATTGTTATTAACTGATTGACATGTAGAAAAAAATAACGTATCTCTGATGAACCTCGAAATACATAGTCCTCTATGTCATTAATGTCGTTCTGTGAAACATCAACATATCTTAGAAACGGATGATTTCGAAATAAACCAGATGGCAGAATGACTATCTTGTTTCCCCTCAAATATATCCCGGTAATATTACTGCAATTTTTGAATATTCCACTTTGTAGAGTTTTGACACCAGAATGCCTAATGTAAATATATTCCAACGCCACCAACTTGTAAAACCAAACGCTTGGTATATTAGTAAGATGGTTGTAATCCAGGTTTAGCCGATTCAACTTAGTGAGGGGATCAAAAAAATGGTCATGTATATTACTAGCCACTAAGTCATTATTATTCAAATTTAAGAATTCCAGTTGTTTAAAATTGATCATATCTCCTGAAATCAGTTTGCCTATATTACTGTTATAAAAGAGTAACCACTTTACATCAACGGGTATATCTGTTGGCATACGTCGATTTTTTACTTGAACTTTTTTACAATCGACTTTTTTATAAATCCGTATTTCCATGACTGTTTCGACTGGTATACAGTAGTTACAGTAACATAATTCTGGGCATATTGTAGTATTCGGTGTCTGAGTGCCATTGATCCTAAACGGGTTGTACAGCCAACAATGTTCGTATAGGCCTATTGACGTATAGACGGATGTCACAAACAATACCAGTACAACATATAGAATAATTATTGTAAAACTTTTCATATTTAACTCAAATGATTTTTGTGCAAAATGTAAATGAAAAGACTACAGCTGCATGTATTTGGTATAAGCGGAATTTAAACTCTCTTTACAGTTTTACAATACGGCACTAAGACAAAATATAATTATATTAACTTATTCTAATTACACCAGTTATAATGTTCACCATTCAAATAATAGTCCTACTAAATTTGCATCGTCAAGTCAAAAAATATAATCCATCAATGCTAAATTCCATAAACAAAAAATATCGACACTGAAAATACAGTTTTGAACACGCAAAAAATAAGTTCATGAAAATTACAATTCTGATGCTCAATCCGTAGTTAGTGTAGTATAAACGTGCCGTTAATTAGAACCTGTTACCAGGATAAAATAGTAGTAGTCACATCCATAAATGTTTAAAGCAAAACGCTAAATTTGAGAAAATACAAACGAATATCAGTGTAACCAAGATAGCAACATCAACAGTGTATCGTCTACCGTTGACCACTGAATGTAAGCTCTCTTTCTTTTAGACTTAGTGACCTTATTTCCTTGTTTCGCTTCTTGTGTCTTTATTGTAGTCACACTTCATTTTACATTAATCATAATTAACATGTAAATTGCTTGTGCTTTCATATTAGTTATTACTTTAAACATTTAAATAACATGGTTTCATTTTCCGTTGTTAATTGTAAAATTAATTGTAAAAGTGTGTAAGCGTCATTGGCCTTGATAATTTACAATAATAATAATAATTATTATTATTATTATTGTTATTATTATGACAATAATAATAATTAAAATTAAAATTTGGAAACTAATTTTGGTTTCTATCGTGTAAAGGAACCTTTGTAATCGCATGTGCGTTCGTAAGTATGTTACTCTGACGTCATCAAATTCGTCGAAAGTGTTTAATCACGCATAAGCCCTACTTGAATTTCCTAGCTCCTGTTAGTTGTGAATGTTTGCATAGGCCTACTTGTAGTATTGGTTATTAAAGTGTGCCGTATGCTTGACAATATTTTTGGATTAATACTAAAGCAATGCACGAGAACTTTATTACCCCCTCTATTTTCAATAGATAATTATAAAGTCCCTATACGTTTCTAGCTGAATCAAGAATTAATTCATATATATATATATAT